CGATCAGTTAAAAGAAATGCAACCTGATGGAGTAAAGCACATAGCGCATATTCCATTCAGTTATTACATTATCTGTGAAGTTGCTATAAAGATTTAAAGATGACTGGAAAATAGAACTGACGAAGGTGAGGACGTTGAATGTGCAAGTCCTATATATGTATCTATATATATTGTTATATTATATGCATGTTGTCATATCAGGGACAAAACAGCAGCCTCTGCGTACTGACCATCCCACGATGGTCCGAGGTACTAGTGCCCCCATGAACCCTCAACGAGCCAGAGAGGAAGGATCGACATTGATTCAGCAACCTTATTATATTTTATTAGATAATAAAGTTAATTATCGTTAGCAAAATGGTGTAGGAATCGCTTATGAAGAAAGAGTATTTTTCTGGCAGAAATGAACAATGGCTGTCAAAAACCCATTGGCAAAGTCGACCATAAACTGATCAGAACCAACCATCGCTGTGTTGCATATCGTGAAAACGAAGTTGGAAAATACGGCGAACAAACGGGAGTTGGGAACGATGTACAACAGATTGTGACTCTGAGTGACAATAGTGAAAAAATGCACGGAGCGACAAGCCAAGGCCTCGTGCTCCACAACGACAAAGGCCAATTCCTGCAGGACACTCAAATATTTCTTTCAGCCGTGGTTAGCGATGGCAGCAGGATATGAACCGACGCGTAGAACTAGCAGCATCAACTTTAGGAAGCTGAACGGGATATGAAAAGGCATAAGGTATTTTGACAGCAGCGGTCTTCTCCATACTCCTGCATGGCTTGGAGTCAGCGGTGGTTCCAAATTACCATGAAGATCAACTGGACCGGATCCAAAGGCGTGGTTTTCGAAACATCTTGAACTACCGATGTACCACCGAGTTTCAGTGATCCCATATTCAAAACCACTGGACTGAAGGACATCTACGAAGAACTACGACATCGGGGCTGTCATGGTTCAACAACATGATTTATGGGAACAATGACGATCCACAAAATATGTCCCCATCACAAGACCCGAAGACCAGTTCAAGGGCTGGCAGAGCTAAATGCAGGTCTGTTCGCTACGTTACATAAACTGTCCTTTGTCGCAGCAGCTAATGCTCAATTAACCCAAAATTACATCGTGTTGGGTTAAAGGTACTGTCGTGGTCAGCGATCGTAATTGACGATGGCAAAAATAACAGCAGTGATAGTTCTGATTATCTCAATGTTATAACTGCTTGAAAGTGTCGATCCCTCAATAAACATTATTTAACTACTTCGTGCATGCAATCACTTGGAAGACAGTTCTTAGTAATTCAACATCCATATGGAATAATGGCCTGGAACAAGGGCGAAAGATGAATCTTTCAATTCCTTTCGTGAGACTCAGAACCAAGCTTCAGTATTTCTCACAAATCAAGATCGCTGGTCCTCTCACTCTGCAATATGAACAGCATTCGATTCAGATTGATGTGCACTGGGATTGAAAGCACCTTCTAGCCATTCACACCTTTGAAGCAACATTCCCAGCTCATTTTTATCAAGTCATAATAAAACGTCACGACAAACGTCATTGTGACCATTTGCGTTTACTTGTTGTAGAAGCCAGTCAATTAGCTATCACCTTATTATCGGCTCTACGGTACTCTCCTCGTTGTCTTTTTCACTTATCTGGCTTCTGCTTTATCCGTTGGCCGTTTAACCGGTTTCCCTCACTAATGATTGTTTGGTTTGAGCTAAAAGTAGGTACTGCTTTTTAGTAATCGTTCTAAAACCCGAACTTGCACAAGAATAGATGATTCCACTTTTATCAACTTAACAACACTACTATGACCATATTCGTATGTTTACTGCTTTCAAAATTTTTCAGGTTTCTAGAATACTTACTCTGCGACTTCACCTTCAGATTCGACAGATTCCACTTCTTCATGCTCATCGTTGTGGCTAAAATGCGACGAAGGTACATTTAAACAATTTTAACAGCAAGAGCTGAACCGGATCATACGATCGAGATATTTCCAGTCATGGCCCAAAGTTCTCAACGTTCTGAAGTTTAGAACCTGACTCATTTTCCTCCCTTGGAGGCACATTACATTACTGTACAAAGTTGGTGATGTTGCCTGTACGAAAAGTTTTTATTTCACAATTAGCAGCATGATAACAAATCTTAAGACTATGGAAAAGAAGCAAAGCTTAAAAACGAATGACAGTTCTGTGCCAAAGGGGTGAGAAGCCCTCGGTGGTCGATAATGTTCGAATGACCATTTGAGCACGGCGACATGCAAAAAAAGCTCTTCTTCAGAAGCTTTTGAGCAGCAATTAGCCATAGCATTTAATTACGATAAGCTGCCACGTAAAACACACTCAAAGCCGAAGAAATATTCAACTTCGTCGCGATGTAACTGCCTCGCTCCACTTACCTCGCTGTTTCCTCAACCGCCTCCTCCTCGGCTTCCCTGAAACACAAAGCATTCATCAGACATATCAGATAAAAGCAGTGAGAATGTGTGGCCAAAAGCTTCGTCGTACAACTGTCACAAACCGACTGACTGGATGATAGAAGTGTCTACGGCGATGTAAACGTAGTGAACGTGGCAAGTGTGTTTATAGCACAACGTCATTGGAGTAG